GGCCCCTCCCACCCTCCCACCCTCCTGCTCGGACGGGTGACACAGGTGTGGTGAATGGACACATGACTGAATGGGCGTGAGTGCGTGCCTGCAACGCAGAGATCCGCAACCTCGGGGCTGGAGGGGCAGGTCTCTGGTCTGGGCACCCACGTCACCGCACACGTCACCCCCAGGTGTGCCACGACTCACAACTATGACCGTGACCGGGCCTGGGGCTACTGCGCGCAGGGCTCCACGCCCCGGGAGGGCCCAGGTGGGTGCCTGGGGGGGTGTTGGGAGGCCTGAGCCCAGGCCAGGAGGGGGCTGGGCCTGTGTGGGCTGAGCTTGGGGCATCCAGCCAACATGCTGAAGGGGGCGGGGCCCAGGGGACAGGGGCAGGGGAGCCATCAGCCAGGGGACCCCCTCTCTGGGGCCACAGGGTTGCTTTGTCCATTGCTGGGAGCAAGACACCCCCTGGTGGCCAGGCCAGGCCCTGCGGCCACACAGGCCAGCCCTGCCCAGGTGAGGGCCAGTGGGGTCTGCAGGTGCTGGCAGCCCTGCCTATGATGGTCCCAGGTCCCAGGGTGCTGGGAGCAGAGCCAGAGGCCCTGCGTGCCGAGGGGGGCTGTGAGCGGCCTGCATTCCCTCCCAAGACCCCCTCCCAGGACCCCAGAAGGGGCATCTTTAAGGTGGCAGGCCCAACAGAGGCAAGCAGGGGGGGTCACAGAGGGGGAGGACAGACTGCCCGGGCTGAGACCCCTACCCCCCTCCTGCGCGTCCCCAGCGGCTCTGGATCCCTGTGCCTCCAGCCCCTGCCTCAACGGGGGCTCCTGCACCAACACCCAGGACCCCGGCTCCCACCACTGCACCTGCCCTGTGGGCTTCACCGGCAAGGACTGTGGCACGGGTGAGCGGGGCCTGGGGGCCGCGGGGCCTGGGAGGAGGGGCGCCCGCCACATGCAGGGGGGCTGCACGGGGCAGTGGTGTGCCCAGAGCAGGGACACATGGTGTGGTTCCCAGAGAAATGCTTCGACGAGACCCGCTACGAGTACCTGGAGGAGGGCGACAGCTGGGCCCGCGTGCACCAGGGCCGTGTGGAGCAGTGCCAGTGCGCGGGGGGCCGGGTCCAGTGTGAGGACACACGCCACACAGGTACCCCGGCTGGGCGGGGGCAGAGCCTTCCCACGGGCGTCCCGTGCCAGGGGAAGGGACTCCGCTGGGACCACCCATGCGTCCGGCCCCAAGGCCTAGCTTCTGAGCCCTCCCCCAGCTTGCCTGAGCAGCCCGTGCCTGAACGGGGGCACCTGCCACCTGATTGTGGCCACCGGGACCACCGTCTGCGCCTGTGCCCCGGGCCAGGCCGGGAGGC